ATTAAAAAATAAATACAGTAAAATAAATAAAATAATTATTTAAAAGAAAGCTGTTCAAGAATTAGGGTGAAGAATTAAAGATGCATTTTGTCCCAGTTTTGGACTTTTTATTATTCCTGCTAGAAATGAATGTGAGGCAGGAAATTTTCCTCCAGACCATGACCAGTGGCAGATGTGCAGCAATGTCTCCAGGCAGGAATAGCCTGGATCTTCTTTCACCCATAGTCTCCCTCCCACTCCAGGCTCTGTTCTCAGGCTGTGGAGACCTCAGGGCTAGACACCCTTTGTCATCCTAGCCAGTAATATACACAGGAGATGGTTAGACCCTTATTTAAATGGCTGCAGCAGATGGGATACAGGTATTTTTGTGTGGCCCACACATGTGCATACCCTAGCCCAGGGGATGGTGAGCTGAGGAAGGTCACCTGGTGAAAGATGCCTAGGGAGGTACAAGCGGAGAACCCGCAAGGCCTCCCTGTTCCCTGACCTCAGGACCTCTCAGTGAGATGCAGCTAGAAAATGTGCCAGGATGGAGCAGACAAGAAGAGGGAACTATATGCACTTCCCTGTGCCTGGGCTGAGCCTTTCCTGAGGGCTGCAGAGCCAGCCCGCCCCCTAAGTGCTGCTCTAGAGGAAAGGGACATGTGATGGGTGCTGCTGGACTCCCACATGGCTGACCACAGTTCGAGTCCTGAAACTGGTGGCTTGCTCTCTCACTTTCCTTCTCTCTATCTCTTGCTCTCACTCTTGTCCCTCTCTGGTCAAATTAAAATTAAAAAATAAATACAGTAAAATAAATAAAATAATTATTTAAAAGAAAGCTGTTCAAGAATTAGGGTGAAGAATTAAAGATGCATTTTGTCCCAGTTTTGGACTTTTTATTATTCCTGCTAGAAATGAATGTGAGGCAGGAAATTTTCCTCCAGACCATGACCAGTGGCAGATGTGCAGCAATGTCTCCAGGCAGGAATAGCCTGGATCTTCTTTCACCCATAGTCTCCCTCCCACTCCAGGCTCTGTTCTCAGGCTGTGGAGACCTCAGGGCTAGACACCCTTTGTCATCCTAGCCAGTAATATACACAGGAGATGGTTAGACCCTTATTTAAATGGCTGCAGCAGATGGGATACAGGTATTTTTGTGTGGCCCACACATGTGCATACCCTAGCCCAGGGGATGGTGAGCTGAGGAAGGTCACCTGGTGAAAGATGCCTAGGGAGGTACAAGCGGAGAACCCGCAAGGCCTCCCTGTTCCCTGACCTCAGGACCTCTCAGTGAGATGCAGCTAGAAAATGTGCCAGGATGGAGCAGACAAGAAGAGGGAACTATATGCACTTCCCTGTGCCTGGGCTGAGCCTTTCCTGAGGGCTGCAGAGCCAGCCCGCCCCCTAAGTGCTGCTCTAGAGGAAAGGGACATGTGATGGGTGCGCAGGCCTTCGACTCTAGCAAATCTTCTCCCACTGAGGAGACAGGTTTCTATCCACTGAGGATAGAAAGGATTCGGACAGAATAGTTAAGTTTAAGAGAGAATTTAGTTATTTAGTTAATAAGCTTAATGATTACTATACACGAAGCATGTAGACCCTGGAAATGTATCTTAAAAGACTTAGTCCTAGAGAAGAACGCACCATGAACGTCTACAGTCGCGGCCCCTGAGACAGGACAGCAACTAGACTGGAACACCGGGGGTTTGTCTTACCTGAGATAACTTTGTTGTATGTTGTTATGAGGGAGAATGTTCACGTGTATGTGTGTGTGCTGAACGTGTATGAACACATGAATGTTCATGTGTGTGTGTTTAATGTGTTATAGGGCACATGCACTCCCTGGTGAGAGAGTAAGAAAGCACCCCCAGGGAAGAGGGCCATGCTGCAATCCCTTCTCCCCCAGTCTCCTGTTGGAATTCTGGGAACATATGTACATGCATCCAGCATGTTTCCAAGCTGCTCGGTCAGACCTATACTGCACAGTTGTCCCTGTGGGGATTCAGCTACCTTAACCACCACGTCACCTAGCTGACCCCGTGTGTGTCTTTCTTTTACCTCCTTTAGTTTTTGCTTATAAGGCATGTGCACTCACTGGAAAGAGACGGAGAGGGTGGAAAAGTGAGAAATCACCTCCCAGGGAGGATGACCATGACACAATCCTTTCTTCTCCATTCTCCTCTCCGGATTTTGGGTACACACTCACACAAGCCTAGCATGTTTCTCAAGCCGCCGGGTCTGGGATTCAAACCACACTGTTGGCCTTGTAGGATCCAGCTGCCTCAATCTCCATGCCACCTGATGGCCCAAAGTCTATTGTCATTTTTTAAATATACATATAGAGAAGATGATGAACAAGAATGATAAAATGCCAGCAACTATAATTTAGTTATGGGTGCTGTGGGTTCCTAGAGGGAGGGGGACTCCTCGTTGTCGGAGAGACACCAGTGGGCTGTAGACTGAGCCGCCTTCTACACCAACTGCAGCAGGGTACCAACCCAGCTGTGGGTTTTCTGGGTGACCTCTGACCTGACACACTGTGTTGCAACCCGGGGAGGGCAGTGGGACCCTGGACCAATGACTCTCAGGAGGAAGGATGAGAGCTCTCTGGAGGTCAATGCAGGACCAACTGGAGTGGGATTGGGGAGAGGAGTGAGAGCGAGACTCAGAGGAGTGATGAGTGGTCATGTTCACGCGTAGGAGCTGGGGAGAGCCTTCCCCCCTCACAGAGGGGAGGGCCCACGCCTGGGCTCAAAGACTCCACCACTGCAGCCAGTGCAGGGCTGCGGGGACATGAGGAGGTGGCCTAGGAGAGCTGGGGCGGGTATCTCCAGAACAGGGCAGTGCCTGAGAGAGCAAGTACAAGACGGGCCAGGTGTCAGGTGCAGCAGGCCGGGCGCGGCGCTCTTGGCACATTTTGCCAGTTTTGCTAACATCGAGTAGGGAAGTAAAGCCCTTGCGGAGGTTATGGCAGTCCGTTTCTGGGACCTCCAGCTTGTGCTGTGGTTCTTCTGGCCAGCGCATGGCATGTACAATGCTGCAATCTGGTGCTGAAAACTCAGGAACAGGTTAGAGCTGGGTGCTGAGGTCCCCAGAGAGGAGCTCCTAGGGGAGCAGCAAGGGTGAGTGGCAGGCTAGCCTGAGGGCAAGGGCGAGACAAGAATCCTATAAACTCCCAGGAATGAGTGTGGCGAGCTGTTTGTGGCGCGAGGGTCGCTACAACACTCTGGAACCTAGTGGAACAGGAATCTGTGGGGCCGCGCCAGCCTCCGGTGAAGACTGTGCGTGGGGGTGGTGGGTCAGTCGTGTCATTTGATTCGACTTTGTTGTTTCACCTGTCATCATGCCAGAGCTGTAACGGCCCATTACATAATTTTATAGTCAGACCCTTAAGCCCGCACTTCCTCTAAACATAGCTAGGTCAGTCTATATTTTTGCTACTGATTCCATGATGTCCTGTGCGTATCTTAGGAACAAGTTGTATGTATTGGGTAAACACCCTGTTTAGCAATGAAGGGGATTATTTTTTTTTTTTAGTTTACTTATCCTTTCATGAGAGAGATACCCTCAAGAGGGTCTCACACTGCAGTCGTCCCACCATCAGCCTTTCCCACCCAGCTAGGATCACAGGGATGCCTAATAGGAGTATACAAGTTGACTAGGAAACTGAACCCAGACCTTCCATATGACTTCCAGCATAGTGGAGTGTTGCACCACCACGACTGGGCAAAACGGGCTATTTATATTAGAATGATAACCCACAAAAAAGAACGAGATGGTCTTCATGTCTGAAGAGTTGGTGTGTTTTACTGTGGAGGTCTTTATCTTACGGGTGCTTTGGGGCTCTCGGGAGGCTGCGTGATCATCCCAGCTTAAATATACATATTCCTGGGAATCTAAAAATACAAGTTTCTATCCAACCCTACTCCCTAAGAGTTCTCACTCTCTTTATTACAGTAATAGACCTTTAGCTAGTAGCTCAAGAGACCCTTGCTGATAGCCAACACTTTGGGTTCAAAAGAGGTAACACCCTGGAATACTTTGTAAACAAGGCTATAGTGTTAGAAGTGACCTTTAATAATGCTTGCTGTTTGCTTATCACCTTATTGGTCTGGCCACACATTTTTGAAAAAAAAATTAGACAACTAGATATCAAGTAACACCTGCCTTGCAAGCATACAGACTGAAGAGTGAAGTTGCTAGAAGATGCTGGAAGGGCATTGAGGCTTTGGACACTCGGTTGTAGATTTGAGAGGCAGCTAGCATGTCTGTGTCTGCATAGTGCCTGGCTGTGGCCACTGCTTACCTCAGAGCCAGGCACCCACAGAAGGTAGGGCTGGCTCTTGGTAGGTATTAGGGGTGCACATTTGCATGGAGCTGGCCTCTGCTTAAGAGCTTAGTTAGCCCAGAAACTGCCCAAATCCAGAGAGTGACTGTTTGATGATCAACAGTTTTTAAATACACAAGGGTACAACTTGAGCAAATCTTTTATGGCCAAGACCTAAACTTCCTAATTTTCTCTTTTGATCACAGCCCTCTATTTAGATGTGAGTGATAAAAAGGGACCAGTTCCTCTTTGCTCTGTGTTTTCTGTTTTGTTTTAATTTTCTAGAGGGCATGTACACTCACAGCAAGGGTTGTGGGGATAAAGAGAGAGAGAGAAGGAAAGTGAGAAAGCACCCCCACGGGGCATGGTCATGCCACAATCCCTTCTCCTCCATCTCTGCCTCCTTTTGGGTTGTGGGATACAAATGTACACATGCCCAGCTTGTTTTTCAAATCTCCTGGTGTGGGACTCAAACACGCAGTTGACCATGTGCTACTAGACGCCTTAATCAAAAAGACATCGACTAGCTTGCTCCATGTTTCAAACAGGTCTCTCACTGTCAAAAGAGCAATGTCATTCCTGTTTCAAAAAGCCAGGGTTATATTTTTGGGTGTGGCTGCTTCTATATGAAACTAACGATTTTCTTCTGGTGTATCTTGTTGCCCACCTCCCTTCCCTTCCCTCACTCCAGGAAGGGTGCCTGTGGCCTTCAGACAGCTCCGTGCAACGACCAGGGGCCTCAGAGGTAAGGGGTGGCCAGGGTGGTGCTGGCTGCAGTGCTGCAGCTGGAGGGCAGGAAGAGGAAAGTCCTGGTAACAGCACTGGGGCTGGGGGTCAAGGACGAACACTTGAGGATTAGGGACTTCCCATAGAATCTTCAAGGGATTATCTGTGCTAGTGTAAAGCTCCTTACAGAAAACAGGTTGAGAATCACTGATCTTTACATGATCCCGTAAGCTACTAATACCGTGGCTTGGCAAGTGTGACCACAATTTATAAATATCATGGCAAGATTCATTGCTGCATCTCCAAGTTTAATCATTCGAATTTTAAGATAACTTATTTTTTGCCTTTAGGTTATAAATATTGTGTGAGAGAAGTCAATGGCTACATATGTGTGTAAAACATACATGTATGCATGTATATTAACACATGTGTGTATACATATATGTATACGTGCACATATACATATAAGATCTGTTTCCTAGAAGGAACTTGGACAATGGAGTACATGAGAGGCTTTTCTAAGAAAGAAACTATTTGGATTCATTTTGAAAAATAAATCTATAATTATATTTATATAGGTATACAAAAGATTTTTCATGTCAGTGACTGAAAATAATGGTAGGAAACTTCTATCTGGAATCCAAATAACTGGAAAAGCCTAGAAACCAAAAAGAAAGTCACTTTTTTCTAGATTTTTTAAAAAAGGAATTGATAGGGTGACAAGCTTCTATAAACGATCTATAAATTAAACGAATACCTTATACTATCGAATGAATTTACTTACATTTGTCACTGAAACTTGGAGCTCCTCTCCACTTTTCTGAATCACAGCTTCCGAGTTGGCGGGGACCTGAGAAAGCAGGTGGCCTTGTTCTGTGTCCACACTTTGTGAATAAAGAAACTGGGGTCTGGCCCGAGTCCCCAGGCGACTGAATCTGAGTGCTGGCTATACAGTGCCTCCCACCCCATCCCTTCGTATGATGCACTGTCGGGCTTGCTGTGGTATTCTGTTTGAACCCCGTAAAATGTATTCGGTCGGTCACTAGAAAAGCCGTGATGTATTTTTCTATGTGTTTTTATGCAAAAACATGCATCATGACTTTCCCGACAACTCAATGTATATAACACGCACAGTAAGTCCCATTGAACTGGAATTTTTTTTTTTTTGAGAGGTTTTTCGCTATAGGGCGCGTGCGCTCGCCAGACAGAGAGAGACATAGAGACAGAAAGCGAGAAATCACCCCCCAGGGGGGATGGTCACGCTGCAATCCCTTCTCCTCCATTCTCCTCTCGGAATCTTGGGCACGCACGCACACGCACACGGCGTGAGTTCTAAGCCACCGAGTCTGGAATGCGAACCGCGGTTGACTACGGGGGAGTCCAGCGACATAGCCATTACGCTAACTACTGGTTCCCTGGAATTTTTAATTAACTACAGTTCTTCATTGTTCTACCATCCTAGATACACTGTAGTTTGGCAAGGTCTAGTTCATGAGGATTAAGAAATCTATTTTTTTTTCCCCTGGAATGGTTGAAGAAACATTGTTCAAACTGGTATGAACATAGACCAAATGTGAATTTCCTTGACTCCATCACGTTTGCGGTTGTAATTCTGCCAAGAATGTCTTCAGGCCTTTCCCTTTTCCTTCCAGATCATGTACACCCCGCGGTCCAGGGACAGGTTTACTGCCCCATCCTTTATCCAGAGGGACCGGTTCAGCCGCTTCCAGCCCACCTACCCCTATGTGCAGCACGAGATTGACCTTCCTCCCACCATCTCCCTGTCTGATGGTGAAGAGCCACCTCCTTACCAAGGGCCCTGCACTCTGCAGCTCCGGGACCCTGAACAGCAAATGGAACTCAACCGAGAGTCTGTGAGGGCACCCCCCAACCGAACCATATTTGACAGTGATTTGATAGACATGTCTCTGTATAGTGGAGGCCCGTGCCCACCGAGCAGCAACTCGGGTATCAGCGCCACCACCTGCAGCAGCAACGGGAGGATGGAAGGGCCACCCCCCACCTACAGCGAGGTGATGGGCCACTACCCAGGAGCCTCCTTCTTCCATCACCAGCACAGCAATGCACACAGGGGCAGCAGACTGCAGTTTCAGCAGACCAACTCAGAGAGCACAATAGTACCCATCAAAGGAAAAGACAGGAAGCCTGGAAACCTGGTCTGATCCCCTCCAACATGCACACAAATCCAGGAGAAAAAAACTAAGGAGGGAAGGGGCCGCACTGGACCTTCCTGTGCACGGCGTTGTTCAGTTTTACGTGGTCTAAGTAAGTGAAACCAAATGTACAAACACGGCCTGTTTCTAATTCCTTTCAGGGAATCGCATGCAGATGAGACTGAAGTAACACATACTTCCCTCCTGTCTGACCACGAACAGTGTTTATTTGGGGGCAGGGTTTGGGAGAGGGGGTGGCTTGGCAAAGGGTGGGCGGGGGGAAACAGAGAGAGGGATGCTTTGAAGATACCATGAAATAAACCTACAGAGGTATTTGATTTATTTAATTCTGAAAGGAGACTTTGCAGATAAATGAGGCCAGAATGGCCTGTTTTATAATTAACTGAATAAAGAAGGAAGCATTATTATATATTATCATGGAGAAGAATCAGCCAGTTTGCTTTTTCTCCCAAGGTGTGGAACTTTTATTTTGTTTTAAAAATATGAATCAGAATTCCTGTTTTGTGTGCCAAGGTATAAAGTGGAGAATTTAGATGAATGCAAGGAGCTACTCTGTGTTGTGATGATGTGTTTTAAAAGTTGCACTATCTTAATGTTTAAAATATATATGAGGGAACTGTTTATGTGAAGTTCTATATGTTGTCTTTTCACCTGTGGATTGTTACTAGGCCCAGGAAGTATCCTGGAGTGTTTCCCAGGAGGGTGCAGGAAAGCTATTTGGGGATGTAGCCTAATATTTACCATCTTACATAATTCCACAGCAGCATTATTGTTGCAAAAACTTGCATCCAATAGCAGTGCATTGCTGAAGCTTTTGAAGACTTTTGGATGGAAGATAGGTGTACTGAGTTCCAGCATTTCTGACTTGTTATTTGAGTTACTCTGCTAGTCTTGGGCTGCATATTTTATTAGGAACGAACCCGACACGTGCATTTACATATCTAGTATCATGCAGCACTGCCTTCATCCTCTAGCAGTGCAGTTTTAACAGTAATTTAGATTTTTTTTCACTGTAGCATGAATTATATTCAGATACATACTTATTTTTATGCAATAAATTGTTTAAAATGCAAGGCAGTTATTTTGAATACTGTTGAAATATGTGGCTTCTCCGTGTATCCCTTTTGCCGCTCTCCTTTTTCTAGTTAGCTCTGTTTTCAGTCCTACGAGGCTGGTCAGTGCAGCTGGAGGCTCCCACCGGTCACCCCCACACAGCCACCCCTACTTGCAGTGTGAGCAATGCCGGCCCTGGTTTCTTCAGCTTAGGAAGCCCTTGGAATTGACAGAGGAACGCCATGTTGCCGATCATGGTAATAAGCCATTGCCTCTCACTAGTATTGGCATAGCATTCTCAGAGGGATGCAGTGCCCAAACCCACCCACACTCTGAGATTTCACTCCCTGCCCGCCCATCCTCTGGTCAGTCTTGTTTGATGGCAAGTCCTGGATGGTCAGTTATAGAGCAGTTGCGGGGGTGGGGGTGGGAGGAGTGACTCTAAGAGCACAGGATTAAAAAGCACAACATGCAGTTAAAATGCAACTAGAAAACTAATTTTAAATATTCTTAGTCTTAGTTTTAATATTCCTGATATTTACAAACATTTGTTCTTAACATACAATAAAAAATCTTTCTTCTGCAGATGTAAGCACTGGTTTTTGTCACAGCAGCAGCTAATAAATTAAGTAAATACTGCACTGTGGAGAAGGGCTTGTCTGTTGCGGCCGGTCTGCTTTAGTGGAGGTTGGGCCTCTTTGGCTTCTGCACATAACGAAATGATCTGGAATGATGGTTAGGTGACTCCAATCTATGCAGCTTTGATGCCAAATCAGCATGTGCATGTGTCTGTGTCTGTCTGTGCGTCTCAGAATTGGTTCCTCAGTGAGGTGGCTTTGTGCTGTTGGCTGAGCGGTAGAGAGACTGCTCTGAAACCCAAGTCCTGTCTGACCCCAGTCTGCTTGTTTCTGCATTTCTTGGTGGGTAGGTCACTGATTTGTGTGTTCTGAGGATTGGAATGTCCATGAGATTCATCCATTTCACACGGTAGCATCCACGGAACTGGTCAGACTTTCAAAGGAGAGAAAAGATGGGCAGCACCTGTCAGCTCATGCCCAAGACCATGCTAGGAAAACATCCATTTGAGGGCCACAGTGGATGTTGTGAGACTGGATTCAGTCTTATTCCAGCAATGCTCAGAAGGCATCTTTCAGGGAGAAACCAGCTCTCAAGGCAGAGAGTGACTTTTCCACCACCCTAGAGTCTTCCTGAAAGGTGGTTGATTTCTCTGGATTTCAAGTCTGTGCTTTGAAGAAGCTGGGGATCTGTGATAGAAAGCTTCTCCTTGCCTGTCAGGTGAAAATGAAAAGACTGTTGTCCCATTCAAACCCCACTGGTGGGGACACAGGGTGGATTGTTGGTCAGATGTGTCTCCTCAGATGCAAAGATAAGGGTAGCTAATGATTTCATCATTCCAGATCTCACCTGCAGTTTTGGAAAGCAGGTGAACCTGTCCTACAGCTGTAGCTTAGAATAGTTTCACAACCCTTACCTTTCTACCTGTTAGAGGAATGCGATAAGGAGAGAGACTTGTAAGTTCCTTATAGCTCTGCAAGTATATGAATGTTTTGCAGATGTCCACAGTACTGGCAAAGTAAGTATGTAGTTCAAAGTTATTTGCTAAGTTGTCCCTCAAAAGATAGGTTCCTCCCATTCAGTCACCCTAGAGAATCACCTTTTAAGTTAAATAGTAATTTAAAGACACATAAATATCAAATTATGACTGTGAAAGGTCTTTGAGGCTGGACCTCTGTAATGAGTTAGTTTAAAAGCCAGGTCATAAATTGAATTAATAGTCAATTTCCCATCAACACAGGGTAGGTGGTTTAGATCAGTAGCCCTAAGGTTGTAGTTGTCTTGTTGGCACGGCATCGCCTCACGGCTCGCCTGGTGTTGAAGGAGTGGTGATTGTAAAGACACAGCTGGGAGAGCAGGGCCTGTTACTTAAGGAACCCTAGGGACCAGTTCAGAAACCAGGCATCTCGGGACTCAGTGATAGGCTCATAATCTTGGAGGATTCCAGGAGAGCATGGCAACCAAGGGTTGCATTGTTGGGAGGAACGTTTGTTGGGAATGCACACTCCTGGGCGTACCTCTGTGACTTGTGTCTCTTCGCTCAGGACTGTGCAACCTAAGGCATGTTGAGTCCCATCCATAAGAACACTGTCTTCTGGCATATACGTGCTTTTTCAGAAACGCTAGTGGTTTTCGAACACTGTAGCAATCAGTAATGCGAAAGAAATTTAGTGGAACAAATGGCCCATTTTAAAAATGTATTTTTCAAGTCCAAAATCCACTGATAAAGAAACTTGACGAGCATGCCCTCTGCCCTACCACTGCCACATGGACACATGGACACATGGACACACACCCAATCCATTTATTTATTCACTCATTTTACCTCTGACTTGTGAGAGGAGAGAGGGTCAGCAGTACACCAGGAGGCCCCCTAACACTAGCACAGGAACTGAGTAGCCAGATGAGCACCTCTTGAACTTCTAAATAACTTCACCTCTATTTTACCTTCATGAGAATGAGAAGGGCCCACAGGAAGCACTTTTACGAAATTTCTCTGATCTGGAAGAATCGAATTCAAATCCTTGCCTTCCTCTCAGAGCATCTCTGACAGGGGATCCTCTTCCACATGATTACTCTTCTCTTTAGAAGACTTCTGGTGTAGGACACTCAAAACTGTCGGCAGACCAGATCCTGGCTGAGAGCACAGAGATAAGCCGCGCCCGCCATGTGGCATTGGTCACTGGCAGCTCCAGAGACTCTGCTGCCATGCTAGGGCAGCCCCGTCTGGCCTGGCGCAGTTGCTTTCGTGTATTGTTGAGCTGGTGCCCACTGGCTGAGTTTGGCTACTTAGAATGGCAACGGTAACTCCACTTCTGTACTGTTCGTTTTTTCTTAAACTTTCCAAATTTCAGCAGTCTGCAAGAGAAAACCAGGAAAGATCTTGGTTTCTGTGAACTCTTTGCTCATCCGAGTGGCTACAAGCCAGTGCTGAAGCCCCGCCCTTTCCCCTGACGGTCCTGCATTCCCTTTGCCCAACCCCAGGCCCTTGCTCTCCAGCAAACCCGCCTCTGCTACTGCAGACCCTGACAGAGGATGCCATGTTCTTGGAGCACTGAGGTAAACATATCCCCATGGGCCAGCAGCTTGGCGAGGGAGAGCCTCCCCTTCTCAATGCAAGGAGCACTTTATCTAATGGTGGCATACCAAAGTCACAAATTAGGAAACTTCATTTTTTCACAGTAGATCACAAATAGCACCAGTTTCGGGGCTCACCTTTTACCAATTCCAATGGCCCTGCGGCCGGGACCTAGCCAGAGATCACAGAGAAGTGAAGGAGGAGTGGAAAGCACTCTCAGCCTTGCAGTAGCCTAGAGTTTTTAGAAATTGAGATTTTTGGCATATTTGATTTTGCACCCTGAGCTGCATCCTTGGCGTAGTTCCTGCATATGTTGCTGCCGGGGCCGGTCCGTCATTGCTGCTTTCCAAGGACGCATCAGGAAGCCATTGTCTGAGTGTAGGGTGCCTTGCTCAGAAAGCACCTTCCTGCTTTCCTCCCCTCCCTCGGCGCGTGCTTGCTTGTGTGTACTACGGCAGGTTAGAGCTTAGAGAGCCAGATGCACTACCCATGCCTACTATATAGACCCCTATCGTTTCTAAGAGAGCTGCATGTCCGCTTTTAAGCAACTAAGGTGCCTCACGTTCTGACTTCAGCAGATATAGGAACCGAGCCGCCCCTGCACTCGATGCTCCCACCTTTGTTGTGCCTCACTTAAAATGGTGCTTTTTCAGTTGTCTGTCTTTTCTTATGTTTTTATTTGTAAGGTGCTGTATATAAGTTGAATATATTATGCACATATCCTACCCAATGGGTAGAACAACAAATTGTTAATACTGTAATATAATGTATAGATGATACCAATTTTAACAGAAATGGCATAGAACTTGTGAATGCCTATGTGCTTCGTCCTCTTTTGTAAGGAAATTTGCAAATGGATGCATACAGATAAAAGTCTATGTAGTTTATTTTCCTATCAAATATCAATATTATAACACAAGGGAAAGAAGTCTGAACAAACAAGCAACAGTTTATGACCAGCATATATATATATATAGCAATTCAGAGTTGCATCTTTGCTGTGAAAAAAAAAAAAAAAAACCTAAAAAAAAAAAAAAAAAACCAACCCCACCACCTTTTGGTTGCCACTAGAAGCTTACTTTAATTGTTTAGTAATGATGCTCAGTTGGACCAGTGTTATATTTTAGTCAGAAAAAAAATGTTGATTTTTTTTTCCAGCTTGCTTTAACAGACAATATCTCATGCTGTAGTATTAATGAAGGTGTGAGGCCTCAGTAAGAAATTTTTGTTGTTAAAACTGCAAAAATTTTGTCAAGGAAGTGAACTGGCCTGTAGCAGAGGACTTGGCTCGGTCACAGAGGCATGGAGGACCATCTGTATCCCAGGCCTCTCTGTGCCTTGCTCTTTGACAGTTTGAAGCTGTGGAGCCAAGGAACTAACAGTAAAATTAGAAAGAATACCTCAGGAAAACCACACCCACGTCAGAGAAGACCCTGTTTTTAGAAAAAACATTTTGCTATGGCTTATTATTAGAAGAGAATCGGCATTCAGCCAGTGAAGTGAGAATCTTATATCCATTCCTATTGGTCTATGGTAACCCTGACCCCCACCCCCCAAACAAACTAGGTTTTACTATCTGTAAGAGATTACATTTTTATTTGCATGTTAAGTTATACCTCTTTTCCAGCTCGGATTTTAGTGTTTGATTGTGACCTCGGCATTTATCTTCAATTATCTTTTCTTTTTCTTTCTTTCTTTTTTTTAAATAAAAAGACTTGTAACACCATATTCATTTAAACTATGGTTAAGTCTTGGGTGTGGCATCAATTCAAGTATTGTCTATAATGGTAACCCACAGAATTTTGCCCTCTGGTCCCAGTTAATTTTGTCACCGGGAGATATTTATATTTATTTTCTCTGCTCTGGGGTTTATGTTCTGATTTCATAAATCAAAACCATACCCCTAAACCTCCAGAAAACAAGTTATCAATCATCTCGAGACTCTCAACACCTCTATAATGCAAATCTTAATGAGAAAGGCTTAGAAGCCAGCCCTTTCTTTAGTATTTGCTGGAAATAAAAGGGCCGTGAAGACATGATCCCCTGTGTTCTAGATCCCAATCAGTGATCAGCCATCGGCTTCACTGGCTGCGGCAGGGCTTCAGCATTAAGAACCGAGGCTCGTAATTGTCAGAAACAGCTCCCACCCCCAGATTCAAACTTTTGGGAGAACTGGTGGGCCTGAGAGGGTTCTGGACCCAGAGGTACTAAAATGTGTTACCACACCATTGCTTCCTTCCTAGAGAATGAACCGAAGCTTAAACTTTGCTGTTCATGAGACCGGCTCATTTTAATGTGCTTATTGATATATCGCTGTTTTTCATTTCATAGCTTTCAAACACCATGTTTTCTATTTGTATACTCGTTTAGTTTAAAGCTGTTTTAAAATATGTACAATACTATTTGCAGCCTTTAGTTCATTTAAGTTTTATTATAAAGCAATCTACTAAAAAGTACAACATGTATTTGAACTTTTCAATAGTTGTGAGTTATGATAATCAGAAGTCATTAATGTCTTTTTTTTAACCATGTGTGCTTCCTTTTCAACATAATTTCCAGTTCTATACGGAAAAAAAATTCCCAGCTGTCATGTATCTGCCTTTTTTAACTGAGCGATGCTATGTAGTTGAGACCCAAGGTCTGTAATTGCAATACTTTTAAAGAAAGATGTTGCTCTAAGTGCTACTGGTTAGTTATAAAGTCAGATTTTTCTGCTTGTTCTTAATGCTGTGGTCAAACCATAGCACAAAGTCATTAAAATAATCAGTGACGTATGTTTGTCTTTTTTATTTCTTTTTTTATCTTTCAGCAACAAAGAACATATATAGAAAAAAAGGACACATATTTTAAGATCAGTCTCAATGAAACACTCTATTTTCCTAACTAAACTTTCCATTCAGCCTTTAGTTACTCTGAGTTTTCAAAAATAATACTTCATTCTATCAATGTAAAAAAAAAAAAATCATTACTTCATGTTCCACAATAAGCAACTCCGGGCAGATCAAGTGATTATTTTCCCGATTCTGGTTCTACACAGCCCAGAGATGGTCCTCCAGATCCGAGTCCGAAAGCACTGTTGACCCCACAGCGGAGGCACCGGAGGAGGACTTCCTGGTTGTCTGGCCATCTCCTTTCTAGATAGCTGTCCCACAGGAACTTAGGCTCTGGTTGTCTCGCCATCTAGTTTCTAGATAGCTGTCCCACAGGAACTTAGGCGGGCTCAGACCCAAATGATGTCCTCAAGGCTTGTTTCAAACCCCCTGCCATTAGAGGTGTTTTGGTCAGTGATGATGTAACGGCAAGGCCCTAAACTTCCTACACTGGGATCTGAGTGCTGCTACACCTACACAGTAGGCAGGTGTATGGATTCACTGATGCCATGGTTGTGTATGTACAGAGCCTCCAGACTACTAGAATAAGGAATTTAACACGGCTGCAGGATATATTTTGGCATTTCTATGTATTTGTAATATACAAATGGAAACTGACATTTGAAAAATACCATTTAAGTACTGTAGTTATAACATTCATTTTAAATTCTGATTCTTTAAAATTATCTTGGGAAGGGAGATTAGAAACGACCTAAAAGAAGCTCAAAAGCAGTAAGAAATAGACGTCTTTTCTTTAAAACAGCAAGTAGTTACCAATAAACACCACGCTAGGCTCTGAAATAAATAGTATAATCCCAACCGTGCTCTGAGAAATCACACGGGCTGTCGTGTAGAGGGCAAGAGGCCAGACACCAATCCCAACCGCTGAGGGCTGCCCTGACCGGATTACCTTCCCAGCAATCAGCAATCAGCTATGGCCTGAGCGAACTTGGAAGACTTCAGAGCTCTGAGGCAGAAAAACAAAGAACCCCTGCGTGGAGGCTGCTGGGGTCCACAGAACTGTCCCAGCTGGAGCTAAAATGAGGGGAGCCGAGAAGCACAGAAGGGGCTCTAATGCCAGAGAGAGGGAGAGGCGCCACCTTCTGGATCCACTGCTATCTGGGTGTGCTGATGCTTACACCTGCCTATAGCCTCCCCTGGTCAGTCTCTGTACTGCTCTGGGCATCCTTAAGATGCCAAACCTGGCGAATGTGGGGGTTCTCCGTTGTACTTCGTGCTGTTTCACTGACCCAAACCCTTTCAATTTCTGAAGCTAAACAATTTCTGACTTTCTTTGGCTTACATTGTTAGCCTTGTTTTTCCTTTTTTTTTTTTTTTGGTACAGGGCGTGTGCGCTCGCCCGAAAGACAGATAGAGAGAGAGCGAGAAATCACCCCCCAGGGGGGATGACCACGCTGCAGTCCCTACTCCTCCATTCTCCTCTCGGGATCTTGGGCACGCACGCACACGCGCCCGGCGTGAGTTTTAAGCCGCCAGGTCTGGGACTCGAACCACGGTCGACTATGTGGGAGTCCAGCGACATAGCCATTCCGCTAACTGCTGGTCCTTTAACCTTGTTTTTAAGATAGAGCTGCCAACTGTTTAGCAGAATCCACCAGAAATCACATTCACCAGGTTGCTCCCTCTCTCTACCCCCAGGGAACAGTTAAAAATGCATAATTGAAAGAACTTTCCGGTATGGTATCGTTCTGAGAGCCACTCAAAGTGAATCTTAGAATAAAGCACCATGTTCCGGACACTAAGAGGATACTTGCACACAATAGTTGCTAACAAGTCTGTTGCTTAGAACATTATAATTCAATTTAGCTCATTACACTGTTTTGATCTGTTTTGTCTGAATGGATTCTAATTAAAGTGCACATTTTGAAATAGCAGCCAAAAAGCAAAACCTTTGCCTTTGTCGAGTTCTAATTTAATGCCATGTTTCTGTCAAGACTTTAGCTTTTGCCCTAATAATACAAATTTAATTCATCTTCTTCACACTCACTTTCACACATACACAAACACACACACACACAATCAGAGGTGCAAAAGCTACAATTTTATCTTGACCCAAGCACAGTGATGACTAAAATTAGAGGGCTTACCAGTAAACACATGCATTGTATCTTAAAACCTAAAAAAAACTGCAGTTGTGGGACCAGCAGCATAATGGCTATGTCGCTGGACTCCCATGTAGTCAACTGCTGTTCAAGTCCCGGACCCGGTGGCTTAAACTTATGCTGGGCGCATGTGCATGCGTGCCCAAGATCCGGAGAGGAGAATGGAGGAGAAGGGATTGTGGCGTGGCCATCCCCCCTGGGGAGTGATTTCTCACTTTCTGTCTGTCTGGCAAGCACATGAACCCTATAGCAAAAACCTCTCAAAACAAACAAACAAACAAACAAACAAACTGCAGTTGTATATAGCGGCCTCAACATAATTTGACCTGTCTACAAGCCATTTTCATTTATACTTGCCTTGGTCTCTTCTGTCACAGTCACCTGTAAGCACAGATACTCGAGCATCTATACTAGCAGAGAGTATGCCTGCGCTTAAGCGCAAGTATCAATGCATGACCTCACTCCTGGGGGACCCCCCTCTCTCAAGGCTGCTATCCGAGGCTCCATTTGCCATGCCCTGTCTTTGGCATGGCATTCTGAGGTGACTCAGTTTCCCGGATGTTTTAAAAGGCATTCAGTCTTGGAGCCTCACAGACATGGGTGGTCCAAACATTAGCTTCATCTCAGATTAGTTAATGTTCCTGAGGGCTGCCATTTTACAATCTCATCTATAAAATAGGCACACCTGGCAGGACAGCTGTATTTCCTTCATGCCTGAACACAGGGGGCTCCTTATGACTGGCAACTGCTATTGCTGTAATTTAGTTAAAAGAATGTCTAAAAATTTAGGGACCAGCAGTTAGCTTAATGGTTATGTCACTGGACTCCCATGTAGTCGACCGTGGTTCGCGTCTTGGACCCGGTGGCTTAAACTCACACTGGGCGCATGTGGGTGCGTGCCCAAGATCCCGAGAAGAGACTGGAGGAGAAGGGATTGCAGCGTGGCCAACCCCCCTGGGGGGTGGTTTCTCGCTTTCTGTCTCTCTCTCTCTGTCCGGTAAGCACACGCGCCCTATAGCAAAAAACAAACAAACAAAACTAAACAAACAAAAAAAGACTTCTCCAAAAAAAGATTAAAAAAAAAAAAGAAAAAGAAAAACGAAGGCCCAACCTGGTTGTGCAGTGGTAACGCCACGTCCCATAATGCCGGACCCCCATCCTGAGGTCTCTGTGCAAGCCAGGTGCACCTGTGTGCCCGTGGTAAGGGCTGATCGAGGCCAGAAGTGGACTGGGGCGTGAAGACCCTGCTGAATACACACACCCCTCTCATTCATGAAGGAAATAAAGTCTTGCTTAAATACAACAGTTTTGTAAAGGTCATTTTGCTTCCGATATGCCCTCCACGCTAACTACTGTAAACTTAAAAAGCCAGTGAAATAGCGAGCACCAATTTCATGTCCCAACGGGGAATACCACGGAAGCTCAGAGCAGAGCACGTCAAGGTAAGAACACGTCACCAGGCCCAGCGCTTCGTTCCCCTAAATAAAGTGCACCTGCCTCTTTACCCCATTATTTTACATGTATGGGTTGTTTTTTTTAATAAAGCACATCAGGTGTGGTGGAGTTTCTTACAGCCTTGATAACAAAATGTTACATCCAAAAGGGTCATTTAGGGAGAACGACCGGTTTAAAATCATTTCCCTTCTTGCCCTGCTTCCTCCCACTGTCTCTTGCCCTTTTTTCTTCATTTTCCCTTTTCTTCTTGTTTTTTCTTTTATGAGGGCTGAGAGAGCTGCTGCCAACTTAGGCGCTGCTAATCATTCTCCCCACCTGCCCAGCTGAGGCCTGCAGGAGCCCCCGGGTGCACCCTTTCTGCTCTGGCAGCTGTGCCAAATGATGGTGGTGGCTGCCCGCTGGCCAGCATTCCCTGGTTCTGCCATGCCTTTGCCAACGCCGGCACACTCACCTTCTTCAGGAATGCTACGCTCAAGCGCCTCATTGTAGGACAGTCCCATTCTGAACCTCAGATGAACACACTTGCTCCATTTCGCACTGTGATATTTCTTTCCCCATCAGGTCTCCCTCTGCCAGGCAGGGCTAAAGACAAGCGAGGAGAGGCAAGGCGTGCCCACCAGCTTCTCAGAGCCCCACAGGGCCACCACATCCTCGGCCTTCCAGGAGTCAGAAACTGAGGCCACAGTCTCCCTTCCCTACCACTCCAAGACAAAAAGATCAAAAGAGTAGAATCTAACAGAATTATTGATAAAAGAGAAATTATGGCCTTAAAAGCCAAAAAAGGATGGAGGGCAGCAGCAGGAAGGGAGGCGGGGAAGCCAGAAAAT